CCTGGCTGAGGTAGAAAGATTAAGAAGAGAAAGAAAAAGGAGGAAGAGAAAGAATCTTCTGCCTGGTGTGCTTTAGCCAAGGGCCACAAACCTTGTCATGGGGGCTGCTCCCAGGAGCTGTTCTTATTCTTTACTCTGCCCTCTGTTCCCTATCCCAATCACCTCACCTGAGATGGTGTTTAAAAGGATACTGAGGAAGCCCATCAGTTGGGGAATGGCTAAATAAGTTGTGGTGTATGAATGTAATGGAATACTATTGTGCGATAAGAAATGATGAGCAGGTAAAATTCAAAAAAACTTGGAAAGACTTCCATGAACTGATGCAGTGTGAAATGAACAGAACCAGGAGATTGTTGTACACAGTTACAGTCACGTTGTGGGATGACTGCTTTTTATAGGCTTGGCTCTTCTCAGCAATGCAAGGATTTAAGAAAACTCCAAAAGACTCATGATGGAAATTGCTATCCACACCCAGAGAAAGAACTAAGGAGTCTGAATGCAGATGGAAGCATAGTATTTGCTCTCCTTTTCCATTGTTGTTTTGTTTTATTGCTTCATTCTTGTGGTTCCTCCCATTCATTCTAATTGTTCTTTACATCATGACTATTGGGAAAATGTGCTTAACATGAATGTATATGTAGAGCCTTTATTGGCCCTCAGGGAGGGAGAGTGGGGGAGGGGAGAAGTAGGAGGAGGAGACAATTTAAAACTCAAAATCTTATGGAAAAGAAGGTTGAAAACTAAAAATAAAATAATTTTTTTAAAAAATAAAAGGAAAGTGTAAATGATCCAGGGAAGTGGGCCTGGACTCAGAGCTCTGCTTGCTTTTCCCCAGTCAGGGGATGGAACTTGGATGGAACAGTCCCTAAAGTTCTTGAGGCAACATCATCTATAGGATGGACCCAGTCTCTCTCTTCACTCTGGGAACATCACTTTCAGGCAAGACTAGATTTCCTATCCTTGTCACCCCTTGGAAGTCACTTGTTTATCTTCCCAGAGAACTGGACCATCAGCATTGGGGACAAACATCCTTAACTTCCGTAAGGCTTCTAAGGAAAATGTAAATGAAAAGAAATATAAGGGGGAAAGGACAGAAAAAAGGGAGGAAAAAATAAATTTACACGATAACTTTGTTGTATATCGGATAGGAATAACAAGTTGCGCATAGTAGATTTGTAGTTTAAGTACAACCATCTTTTTATCATATTATGTTGTAGAAATGCTTGTTTTATTCCATAAATATATATTAATGTAATAAAAACTAAAAGGGATTAAGGAAAGCATGAACTGTAATAAAGGAGGTTGAGGGAGGGACAGGGATAAAAAAGTCTGCTTGTTTAGGGGGTGGATTGGATAGAATGTCCAGCCTGAAGTCAGGAAGACTCATCTTCCCGAGTTCAAAGGTGGCCTCGTACACTTAATAGCTGTGAGGCCCTGAGCATGTCACTTAACTCTCTTAGCCTCAGTATCCTTATCTAGAAAAATTATCTGGAGAAGTAAACCATTCCAGGATCTTTGTTAAGAAAACCTGAAATGGGGTCCTGAAGAGTCAGACATGACTGAAACAACTAAACAACAATGCACTTTCAACTGAAGTTGGGCTTCACACCAATAAAACAATTTAAAGCAGCTATGTGGTGCAGTGGATAGAACACTGGGTCTCAAGTCAGGAAGACTCGAGTTCAAATTCTGCTTCAGATATCTCCTTGCTCTGTGACTCTGGGAAAGTCACTTAACCCTGTTTGCCTCAGTTTCCTCAGCTGTAAAATGAGCTGGAGAAAGAAATGGCAAACTACTCCAGCATCTTTGTTAAGAAAACCCCAAATGGGGTTTAAAGAGTTGGACCCAACGGAAAAGACTGAACAATAAAGAATTATAAGTACTTTAAGGTTTGCTAAACACATTACATGTATTAACTGATTGGATCCTCACAACAGCATAGGGGCTATTATTATCCCCATTTTACAGATGAGAAAACTCAGATGTGGAAAAGATAAGTGACTTGCCCAGGGCCACACAGCTTGCACTCTACCCACTGTACCAGCCAGCTGTCAAGTTAGAGCTAAACAAATATGGCACATGAATGGAATGGAATATTACTGCATCATAATAAATGAGGAATATGAAGATTTCAGAGAAACTTGGGAAGACTTATATGAACTTAAAGTAAGAACTAAGAAAGCAATACATACAATGAATAACAATGTAAATATTAAGAATTAAACAGTGAAACTGAATGTGGTGTAACTATTATGATCAAACTTCCCCCTAAAGAGCAGCAGAGGAAATACACCTCCTTTCCTTCATTGCAGAGGTGGGGGATGATGGCTGTGGAATATTGTATACACTGTCAGAATCAATTGATATATTAGTTACTTTTACTGAACTCCTTTTTTCACTTTTTTTTTAAATTATTCATTACAAAAGGTGGCTTTCTGCAAAGCAGGAGGGAAATTCAGAAATGAAGATGAAACAAAAACTAAAAAATTAACTGAAATGTTTAAATCAAGGGCAGGATTTGAACTCCGGCCTTCCTAACTCCAAAAGCAATATTCTAGCCACTAGGCAACACTGCCTTCCTAGATAGGAGAGAGGCAGAATGCTTTAATAATCAAAGCACTGGTCTTAACATATCAAAAGACAGTATTTGAACCCCAATTATGTCATTTAGGGGTCAGGTGACCATGACTAATTCAAAACCTCACATTTCTCATCTATAAAATGGAACAAAAGCATTTATATAGCACCTACTATGTGCCAGGCACTGTGCTAAGCACTTTACGACTATTATCTCCTTTGATCACCACAATAACTCTGCAGTTATCCCCATTTTATAGATGAGAGAACTGAAGTAAATAGAGCTTAAGGGAATTTCCCCAGTGTGACAAGAGTAATATATGAGATTAGATCTTAAATCTGGTTTTCCTGATTCCAAGCCTACCTCTCTATCCACTGGTCTACCACCTGCCCCAAATGAGAATAATGATAACATCTACTTCACCTTCCTTAAAGGATGCAAAGGACTTTGTAAATTGGCAAATGCCATTTATACTGGTTTTTGCTATACTCACACAAGTCTGTGATGAACTCAAAGATTGCCACTGAGTCGCAGAACAATGGGAATTGGGAGCAGATTGCAGCATTTCAAGAGGGTAAAGAGACTGGGAAAAACAGAGGGCAGGTAGAGGTAATATGTTCATAAGGTTTATCAATCAATCAGTCAAAAATATTTATTAAGCACCTTTTAGAATCCATAGGTTCTTTCAAACCTCAGCTCAAGTGCCACTCTCTACATCAGAAGGTGGCATCACCTTCCCTCTGAAAATCCCCTCGTGTTTATTTTGCAGATGCTTAGATATGAATATGTTGATTACCCAGATGCAATGTAGCCATAATGTCTAGCACAGAGGAATCACTTAATAAATTCCTAGTTGAGGGAGGGAGTGTTGAACAGTCATCCTTAACAAGTGTCATTGCCATGAATCCTAACAGAAGGGTTAAGAATGACAGGGGCCACCCAGCTGGTTTTGTTCACAGGGAAAGATTCCAAGGTGGGGGCTGGTTGGTGTTTGTTATTTGTCCTTTCTGGAAGAGGACCAATGACATCAGGAGGGGGACAGCTTGACTTGCCAATGGATTTAAGTGAGGTAGGGCTGTGCAAAGACATCAGCCTCACTCTCTCCTCCAGTCATCACAGGCCAGTGGCAAGACATAGGTCAAGATGACTGGCACAATGGCCCCAAATGCAGTGGAAAGAGAAGTCTTTCCCAGGTTTCAGTTTTTCTTTTCTCTTTCTCAGGTCTCAGGGCCCATCTCCAGTCATCCTGATCTATGTCTCACCACTGAACTCACATGGCTCTCCAGGAGAGAGTGAGGCTGGTGATTTTGTACAGTCCTATCTCACTTAATCTAATGAACTTGCAAGTCAAGACGGACATCATCTTCCTGATGTAATTAATCTCTTCAAGAACAAAGGATGAACAATAATCTTGCGAAGAGGAGTAGCTGCCCCACTGGGGACCCAACTGTCCAGTTCCAGTTAAGCAATGCTCCTTCTTTCCTTCCTACCTTCCTCAATCTTTCTTCCTTCCTTCCTCCCCATGGGGAATCATACACTTGCATTTGGGTGCTCTGACCAAAGGAATATAAATTGCTTAAGACTGAGTTCTAGAAAACCAGGTTTTAATAAAACCCACTCAGATTCAAATGGAGCTACTTCACTATGACTTATAGACAAACCACTCTGGTTCTCATTGACTGGCCAATAAAAAGTCCCTACCCAAACCTTTCTGAGTCACTCTTTGGGTTCCGTGGCCCAGAGTGAGTGTAAAGAACAATTGTTTCTGTATTGGACAGAAACCCTGAAAGGCTTCCCCTCCCAAATCATTTTGTGACTTGATCTCCCCATATCACCAGGCTGGAAATACAACGGGTGCTCACAGGTTTGATTCCACTGTTGATTGGCATGGAAACTTTCTGAGTGGAGAAAAGGAGATGACGGACTTCAATAGGAAAAAGGCACCTGAATAACCACATCTTCCCTTTTCGCCTCAGTTTCCCCATCTACAAAATGAAAGGTTGAAACCACCAAACTTTTTTTTCTTTTTAGTTTTCAAATGATATAACATAAATACAGAAGAGAAAAATAAACTTCTCTCCCCAACAACTCAGGGGACACATTCTCCCTATACCATCTGGGAGACTATAGAATCTCCAGAGTCCCCTCCATCTCCATTGCATGTAAGCCTGTGTCCTTAGCTAAGGCTCCTTAAATATCGTTTATTCCTCGATCTTAGTTTTCTAACTCAGCTCCTTCCTTTGTTTCTTAATTTTGTCCTTTGCATAGACACTTATCAACTCTTGGTGTCTAGACTCAGAGCCATCTGATCTCTCCTGGGAAGAGAGCCCCTCACCCCCTTCCTTTCCACCCTTCCTACCATTTATAACCACAGTTGGCCACCTGTCACAGCCACCACCATGTCCAGTCTAAGGCAGGTACATGTAATAGAGCAATAAATACAGAAGCCACATGAGGTCACGCCTTCAAGGAAATACAATTGGGCCACTCCCTCCATGTCCATACAACCACTCCTGGGGTCATTCAGTTCAGGCTGGACCAGCACTGTTTTGCATGCTGATATCCAAGGCACCTTCTCAAACCCACCCTGAGATACAAATACCTCCCATCAGTGTCCCTCTGAGCTCAGAGCTCTCTGCCTCCAGCTCTACAAGGGTCACAATGCTCTCCCAGTCCTTGCTCCTCTGGCTGCTACTGCTCTGGCCTGAAGGTAAGACTTCCAATGAGCCATGGGTTGGCATCACTTTAGAGACAGAAGGAGTTTTCCAGGGGGCTTCTCTGACAAAGCCTGTGGGTAAGGGAACTACTCCTGCATTCACTGTGTCTACACAGAATTCTTCATCCACTGAAATCTTTCTTCTTCTCCTTTAGAATCCCAGGCAGCCATTGTATTGACCCAGTCCCCAGCCTCCCTGTCTGTGGCTCCAGGAGACAGAGTCACCATCAGCTGCAAGGCCAGTTCCAGCATTAGCAAGGGAATGAACTGGTACCAGCAGAAACCAGGACAGTCTCCCAAGCTCCTGATCTATGGTGCTTCCACCCTTCAGTCTGGGGTCCCGGCCAGGTTCAGTGGCAGTGGCTCTGGGACAGATTTCACCTTCACCATCAGTGCAGTTCAGGCTGAGGATGCGGCAGATTATTACTGTTCTCAGTATTATAATGCTCCATTCCCACAGTGTTTCAGCCCTGAACAAAAACCTCTCCAGGCTGCTCAGCCCTTCAGCATAGGGGAGCAGCTGCTTCCCCAGTCACAGGCGTGGGCCAACCACTGTCCTCAGGGGAGAATTGGGCCCAATTCAGCCCTGCTGCAGGAGCCATTTGTCCCAGGGACTCTGGCTGAAGTAGAAAGATTAAGAAGAGAGAGAAAAAGGAGAAAGAAAAAGAATCTTCTGCCTGGTGTGCTTTAGCCAAGGACCACAAACCGTTCCGTGGGGGCTGCTTCTCAAACTTACTCTGTCCTCTGCTCCTCATCCTATGCCCCAAGCCCTAAGCTGATGTTCAAGAGCAATGTGTAGACAATGCAGGGGAATGGGCCTGGACTTTCAGCTCTGACTGCTTTTCCCCAGCCGGGACAGACAAGGTATATTAAACAGTCCCCAAAGTTCTTGAGGCAATCCCATCTATAGGATGAATCCTGTCTCTCTCCTCACTCTGGTAACTCACTGTCACTGTCCAATCATTCATGTCTGCCATCTCCCGGGGTAAATGGCTGAAAATCTCATTTGAGGACATCAGTCCTGCTATCCCTATTCCCATAGGGCCAGGATATTGCCCTCCCCATAAAGAGGGGCAGGGCCTAGACTGAGCAGCAGTCACAATGGAGTCAGATGACAGAGGGGTAGAGGAATTAGCATTCATGACCACAAGCACACAAGCAATCAAGGGGACCAAAGCAAGTCTCAGATACACACATACACACACACACACACACACACACACACACACACACACACACAAATACAGGTAACCAGGTTGAAGGGAACCAAGAGGTCTCAAACCCATCGGGGTGTCTACCCCAAGGCTGTGAAGACTTCCCCTGGTGGAGTGGCAGATGAGAACAATCTGTTACAATGCCCACAAAGGTGGCTGAACCAGGGGCTGTGGAGTGCTTAGAGCTTGGTTAGACATCGAAGATGCCAAGGTCACCCACTGCATGTCTAGCCATCACCAGTCATCTTGGCTCTTTCCTTGACTCTGATCACTCTAGAGGGAGGTTGATAATTTTATGCAACTCTGTCTCACTTAAACGCAATTCACACATGAATCAAAAGACATCACCCATACCATTTTACCATTTTTACATATTTCAGAGTCCTGTGGTGACAAGCAAGTGACAAGCAGCAGGTGCAGATACACTGGGAGCTGAAGTCACAACCCTGCACACAGGTGACCCAGGCCACAGGGTCATTTCTCACTGGAAGCAGCAGTGGGATTCAGCAGCCTCCTGGGTGGCTGAGGAGCCTTTTTGAAGGATCACACTGCTCACCTCTTGGTGTGAGGGAGGGGCTGGTAAAGGTGCCTTAAAAATTCTCAGCTTACCCAACCCTGGAGTAATTGAAAGGATTACAGACTGCGCAGTACTTTCACTTTAAGTTTGGATCTCAAGATATAATGACACATACTCAGTACAAACTTAACAATCACATTTATTTTACAATGATTAATAATGATTAAAACAACATAAGCATATAAAGATAAGAATAACATTCAGTGCAATAAGTAATAATCAAAATCAAGAAAAGGAGGAATAAGAAAAGAAAAGATACACACTCACTGACCAGGCAAGTGCAAATACCTACAAGACCGGGGAGACTGGGGATGATCAAGAGGTCTGATCAGGAGGCCAGAAGAGTTGTGTCCTGCTCTTAAGCAACAAGGACCGTGCACATGTTCTGCCCTTGAACAACAACAGAGATTCGGCATCCCTATCTCTGACATCAAAGTACTCCAAAAAATCGCCTTTCAGATGCCCCTTTTATATCTACGTAAACCTGGGAAAAACAATCTTAATATTTTGTTTTGTGTACATATCCTTGGTAAGCTCAAGTCCTGGATAGGCACACATACACACAAAGGTTGGGGCTTGATCAGAGCCCCAGATACCTGTTTGTTGTGTAAGTTTTCAAGGAGTGATCAGGTCCTTGGACAGTTACACACCTCTCTCAAGAAAAATGTTCCTTGAGATAAGAATTGCTTTCCCAGGTAACATAGTTTGTTGGTCACTTAATGTTCCATCTCCATGGCACCCTCAGCCATGCATAACTCCAATTTACATTCTTTATGTAAGGTCATGAGGTGGTTTCACGAGGGGCTGGGGAAGATCTTCCTCAGTTTCCCTCATACCTGGCCTGATTACCACAGCAGGCAGGAATCCCACCCTGTGGTGGAAACATAAAAAAAGTGCAAAAATATCTGCACAGATGATTCCATTCACCATCAGTATAGGGCATGTGCACACACTTAGAGGCAACACAAAATCCAGTAGACCTGAAAGAGGAACAGCTCTTGTTGTAAGAGAACTCAGAAGGTATCCCATCCAAATAGCAGCCCTGAGTGAAACTAATTCCTGCACCTGATAGAAGAATCTTGTAAATATTGGAGGGTGCAACAATAAAATGAGCTCTTCTACCTTTTATAATTATCAAACAGATACTTCAATAATGGAAAAATCATTTCACTTTCTTTTCCATTATCCATACAACTTATATGTAAATTTCAATTTTGAGAACTTATCACCAAAACATGCTCAAAGCTTGAATTTCCATGAGAGATGAGTTGTAGATGTCTATATAGAGTTAAGCATAGTAATAGTAATCATAGTGAGAGAATTCATAGACACCTACATAGAGTTCTTTGAGAAAACTGTCTGATCCTCTTGCTTTTCTCAAAATTTACTATTCTATTTAATTAGAAAATGATCACATCACATCTTTGTCTCATTACTCTGCCTAATGATTTCCCCCTTAGGAGGATATCATCCCTATATCATTATTTGACCACAGATATAGGTTAAAATTATAAGATATTCATACTTGCATCTTATTATAGTAACTCAGAGATGTTTTAGTATCAATCTATTATTTAATAGATTTAGTCTTGTATTTGCAAAACTTCTTGATTATAGAAATTTGCTATAAAAGGAAAAAGAGGGACATAGTTGTAAAAATGTGCTATATCATAACAGAAGGGAAAAACTCCCTCAGCTATGTGTGATTCCAGGCATGAGTCATATCTCACAGCTAATCATGTAGTCACAAGGCGTTAAAAGCAAGGCTCAGGATTAACAAGTTGGGAATTTTCCTTTTCAGAAAGGAAATAGAACAATGAGGATAAAGAGTCAAGAGGATCCTACCAAGGCCTTGCCACCATCATTCCCAAAAGTTTGCCCTGGTTCAAACATTCACCTTTAGCACTTCCCAGACTGCAGCACATACCATTTTCTGCCATTAGCTTCATGAGAGTTCAGACAACGATCCCTGTAATCAAAACTTAAAACAATAGTAAATTACACTCCCAAGAATTTTTACCTGAAATAGCAACACTTACTAACCACAACTTAGGGCTTGAATATCCTTCCTCATGTTTCCCTAACAGTTAGTGTTTCATTTATCCTTTACATGGATGGGGGATTAAGCAGCCATAAAGCAAGGAAGTGCCCCTGACTCAGGATGTCTGTGCAAGCTTAATCAGATCTTCTGGTTGCTGACACAGCAGGAAAATTTCAGGTTCACTCAGAGATCAACGCAGAGGATTGTTGGCATCTCAGTCCAGAAGGGCTTAAATCGTCTTCTCTGATTGACCAGTCCACATGTTTGGCCTTCGTTGGGTAATGAAGGGCTCGAGCAGGTCTCACATCCTACACACCAAATATAAGCTCAGAAAACTCTAAGGCATCCCATAGCCTTCAAGGATGACTCCTTGAAGGCAATAACACCCCAAGGGACAGGTGACAATTCCTGACCTTGTTCTTCCACATACCCAACATTCCTATCTCCCATCTCCATAACTTGGTACTGGAGAGCCCCCATGCAGGCCCTCCCCTCTACCTTTTAGAATCCTCAGGTTCTTTCAAATCTAGGTTTCTACCTGAGAAGGTGGTGTCACTTTCCCTCTGAAAATTACCTCATATCAATTTTGCAGATGCTTAGATAAGAATATGTTGAATACCCAGATGCAATGTATCCATAATGTCTACCACAGAGGAATCATGTAATAAATTGCTTGTTGAGTAAGTGATTGATTGATTAATTGATTAATTGATTGACAAGTCATGCTTAACAAAGGAGTGTCAAGTCCTGAAATCAATCCAAGCCAGAAGGAGAGAAGTAAAACATATTTCATGGAGATCCCAGGGTAGCAAACCTGCCACTCTGGGAGATGTCCCAAGAGTGCAGAGCAAAATGGATTTCCCAATCTAGAGATCTATGAAAAGTTTTTTTACCTTTAGGAAGGAAGTGCAGGGGCTAGCAAGGCCTGGTCATGAGATGCCAGTCACCCTGGGTGAGCTGGGCAAGGAAAACCACTTCATTCTGACTGTTCTGTCCTTCATGCCATGAATCCTAACAGATGGGGTAAGAATGTCAGGGGTCAACCCGGCTCCAGCTGGTTTTGTTAACAGGGAAAGATTCCAAGGTGGGGGCTGGTTGTTGTTTGTTGTTTATCCTTCTCTCTGGAAGAGGACCAGTGATATCAGGAGGGGGATGTCTTGACTTGCCAGTGAATTGGATGTAAGTGAGGCAGAGCTGTGCAAACACATCAGCCCCTCTCTCTTCTTCTGTCCCATCAGAGGCCTGTGGTAAGACATAGGTCAAGATGATAGGCAAAATGGCCCCAGATACAGTGGGAGAGAGATCTTTCCCAGGTCTCAGTTTCTCATTTCTCTTTCTCAGGTTTCAAGAACTATTTACTCTCATCCTGATCTATGTCTTGCCACTGGACCCAAATGGTTCTGGAGGAGAGAGTGAGGCTGGTGACTTTGCACAGCCCTGCCTCACTTAAATCCAACTCACTTGCAAGTCAAGACATCACCTTCCTGATGTCATTTGTTCCCTTTAAGAATGAAGGAAAAATCAGATCTAGATAATTGGAAAAATATCAGTTGCTCATGGGTATGCTTGGCTATATAATCAAAATGACAATTCTACCCAAATTAATTTACTTATTGAGTGCCATACCAATCAAACTACCAAAAATTATTTTCTAGAGCTAGAAAAAATATTAATTTTGTTCTGGAAGAACAAAAGATCTGCAATATCAAGGGGATTAAATAAAAGAAATGCAAGGGAAGGTGGCCTAGGTGTACCAGATCTACAACTATTAAAAAGCAGCAATCATTAAAACTACTTGGTACTGGCAAAGAAATAGAGTGGTAGATCACTGGAATAGATTAGGTACACAAGACACAGTA